AAATTATAACAAAAGAGTAGGTTTACTTACATCTAAGAAAAATATTTCTTGAACGCGAGTGATAGAAACAGTGCTGCGAAGGCTGCGCTGGAATACACCAGTTTTGACTTGTCGCTATTTAAATAAAACAATCACATGACATCAACATCATCACCAAATTCAATTACGTATTTCCGTTTTTAGGACGTAAACATACTGCTTTTGTAAGAGCTCGTTTATACAAACAAGAGGAAAAGCACTGTACATGGAAAAAAATTTATAGTATTGTTAGTATTGTGCTTTCTTTCAAAGCAAAGCCTAAGGAATAAACAGTTGGACCGCTTCGATGTGCAACATGCTGCTCTATACTAATTAGTTCAGTGGTGCGGTTAGCCATTTTCATCGTTCCTGTACGTCATAAAGGCAAAGATATATTATATTTAAACTTAAAATTTAATTCAAAGTATGCAACTGTCTAAAGTGACTTTTTCTTAACTTTGCAAGTGAAAACAATCCGAGAATTTAGACTAAGAATCCCCACTTCTGAGATCATATGCAGACAGGACTGCATGGTTAATGACAAACATTAACATTATAATACTTACACAATACATAGCTTTTAGAAAAAAGCTGTATCTGTGATATCCACATAATGTAAAATTAAGATTTGAGAAAGTTAACCCATCGTTTACGTAAGTATAAAGTAGTCATGTTAGCAAAAATTCTTCAAGGATTTCTGACCTTCAATGCTCTTCAAGTTGTGCATTGTTATTTTATATAAATTGATGTGATGGTTGAATGATTATTGAATGATCTGATGAAACTTCTGTTATTTGCTAGAAAATATTTCTTTTTGTTTCTATTGGATTGGATTGAGGAATATTCACGATCAATAATACTGCAACATATTATAAAGAATATTTTGCGAACAGATTTAATGACTCTACTTCACATCCAGCAACAAAGAGCCTTTATCCTGTGTCAAAGTCTTTGACGCGTAAAATTAAACAGAATGGTTGAAAAGATTGTTGACTTGCTTCGAAACGAATTGTAAACTTTAAAGGATGCCCTTTCGCTCACTTATATTTATAGTAAATTACAAACGTCATCTCCGTTAAAATTCGTTAAAACGTCATCTCGGTTAAAATTTTGTATAAAGATTGAAGCCGGATATTGGTTCATTTCCATAAGTTTTGATGGTTCCACTTTACGACAATTTTGAATTTCAGCACATAATCGAGCTTTTTGCATTTTTATTATTTTCACTTATTGCTCATTCACATCAAATGGAAAGAAATCTGTAAAACATTTGAATCACAGGGAAGTGAGATTGATAAATTATATGCAAATGAGGCATTTCCGGTTTCAATTTTCCCACCAGATCACCAGATGCGCTAAATTAGTGACAGCTTCCATCCGCTATCATAGAAAAACAGTTGGAACCTTCTTTGCAAATTACTGATATATGCTTAACTAGATATATGGATGCCATCTGGCATTTTCATCGTTGATTCGTTCCTATTGGTCAGAAAATGCAATTTACTGGCTGCTTCAACGGTAATAATATTCGTTATATATTACGCATATATATGACAAAAAAAATGAAGGAAATAGAAAATTATTCATGCTTAGCAAGAGTAGGGATCAAAACACTAACCTTGCGCAGTAAGGTCTTTTTATGCAAAACTAACTCGATTTTGGACTTTTGTTATTCCTTAGCGTCAGAAAAACAACTTGACCATTCTGTAGCATTCATTTTGATTTTTACTATAAAAATCTCTCATAAAAATGTAAATAAAAAGAACACTGAGAGAGAAGTGAATGTGATCGGGCCTTTTCATTGAGGTAAGGTATATAAATCTCCGTGATAAATTTCTATAATAAGCATTTAATTGGATAAGTTTTCTAACTGTTTAAAGTAACAAACGCATCTTTTAACCAAGGTAACAGCCTAAAATCACTGTATTTCATAAGGAATACAGTCTCAAAGAACGCTTTTGAACTCCTGTTGAAACTTGGCGAGTTACACAACAGCATTTTCAATCCACTAATCACTTGATTTGAAATATTTTATCCTATTGACTATATTAGTTTTGGGGCTAGGGTTAGGTTAAGAGTAGGGTGAGCGAGGTTAGAGCTCTGATTAAATGTACTCAATGCACAAAACTGACTGAGGAGGAATTGATATCAAAGACGACAAAAAAGACAAACATGTTTATTTCAAGTTTTGTGTAGTTATATTTAATTTATCAAATTAAAAGTAAATATAGATAAAGATGCATGTCTTCTTCATTGATTTACTGAAATGGCTGAGATAATTTAAGGCAGAGTCGATAGTTGATAAAAAAGAAAATAAAGAATTGGTTGTCAAGCTTCGTGAACGTCGAGTCATTTAATTGTTTCTCTGGCCTCTGGTGGTAAATTGCAAAATGAAAAAGAGATTTGAAACTATTACACAAGACATCCAAATTCAAACCACTACTGAGCATAAATTACTAAATTTAAAACTTTACCGTAATAATTAATTTTATCAAAACAAATTTCTTGCGCTACCGAATGTCTTGCATTTTCCAACGTATAAAGGTCATCAAGACTATCGTATCTTTCCTGTTTGCTTGTTCATGCTCTCTTTCTGTATCTATCTCCCTTGGACCCCGCTTGGTTGCATGCATATCATTATTATCCCCACTTATATTAAACACTACATCTCTCCCTTTAATAATTTAGTTTCTTTCTTTCTTTTTACATGGTGACGTCTTTGTATATTGTATCTCGAGTAGATATTCTAGTGGATATTGTTTGTTCGTTTGTATGCTTGGTAGCGGCAGTCAGGTTATTTTTACATAGTTCTATAGTGTCTTTATGCATTCGCTATTCTTTTCTTTTTACTTTTAACTAGGATAACGATTTTCTTTTCTTCAGATTCAAAAAGGTGAGTCTGAAGATGACTACCGCTAAGGTTGTCGAAACGTCAGTCGGCAACAACAAAAACAGTCCTTCTCAGGACTATACCAACCTGGACGTTCTACATTTACAAACAGGTAATTAGAAGTTGATGATGGTCAATTGCCCCTATGTAGCTGATAAATCTTTTTACCACAAAAAACCATCAAATGCTCTAGGTGAACAAGGTTATCAATCTTACAATATGTTTGATAAAAGTTGTCAAGCTTACAAATTAACCAATGAGTTTAAGGTATGCCCATTGGGCAAGTAAAATTTAGGGACTTGCTTTTGCATCTAAGAGATGGACAATCAACTTTAATGATTGAAAGTCACCTTAGCCGTCAACCAGGCTGTCTTAATAATTTATCTCTTTTCGATGATGCAGTTAGACTTTGTTACAGTAATGAACAAGTGGCTAGTCACAATGATGAGCAACTGAAAAAACTGCCAAGTCCTATTGCTAACATAAATGCAGTTCATTATTCAACACAAGCCAAAAAGATTCCTACCAATGAAATTTCAGGGCTTGAACCTCTTAAGGCTCATTTCCACTTCATTCGCGATTCACAAACCGCATGCAAACATTCGTCAAAAATAATTCTATACATATTTTCGCCCGCTAAAACCGAAAAACGGCTTTGCGTTTCAAAATTCTTTTTTTAGATAATGAAAATGAAAATTGGACAGCCGCTTTGTTCTCATTTTTTCTAGTGCTGGAAAAGCGAATGGTCCTTTAATAAAATTATCTTATGTTCTGTTTTGTTTTAAAGAATAGTTTATGAAGTCGAATTGCGAAATTCCTAGCACGCACAAACGTTTTTCGTTTTCTTCAAGCTGAAAAACGAATGGCCTTTGGTACACGCATTGTATAATGCTTTAATGAACATTTTCACGTGTCATTCATTTGTGTCCTACACATTCAAACAAAGAATATTAGATTACACAAAGAATGGAGCATAAGAAGCAATCAAATGGTACGTATCTGTTAAATTATACCTGGCTTTGTGAAAGGACTTAGTTACATATTTATCCATTTTACACTCTGACAACACATGATGTTAAGCTTTAAATATTTTATATTTACATTGCAGTTATTAACAATTGCTATTTCGTTATTTAGCATCAATTGAACTCGTTTGTTACCTTCACCCCGTATTACCAGTCAAAGTTTCATCATTTGGCAAGTGCAAATATTACTATGCTACTTTGCAAACCAGTGAAGGTGAAAAGAATGCAGTTTGTTTCTCTCCTGAAAAACGAACAGTTTTTGTAAAACATGAAGCTGAGAGGAGTTCTGTAAAAATATCTAGATTTCGTATAAATTCCAAGTATGGAAAGAAGATGTTATGATCGAACAACTTTAAAAGTTATTCCAGTTTCAGAAGAAGTTGGATTCCAGTGTACAGATAGCACACCATCAGTGGTTAGTTTATTGTTGTCTCTGAATGAAATATCACCTGACCACTCATTACTGTCAAAGCCAAAACTATCAAGATGGAAGGTAGTAAAAAAATTACAACTAAAGCAAATGCAAGTTCTTCATTGGTCAAGCAGTAATTTGTAATTGGAGACCCAACCACATCAGTGAAACTAATACTTTGGGAAGAGTTTGTTCATGCTCTGCAAGAAGGCTTGACATATGTTCTTAAAAACGTACGACTAAGACGTGATATTAAAGGTTCAATACATCTTAACACCCTAAATGTGGCCAGTTCTCATTTGAAGATGCTGAAGATTTTGAAAGATGTTGTAGAAGACATGCAGATATTTTCTACCTCAGAAGTGATTGCTAGCATAGTTGGTGTCGAATCTATTTCGTGTTATCAATCATGCTTTAAATGTAGGAAGAAAACTGCAAAGCTTCATGCAATAACATTAAAGTGTGAATCTTGTAACATGGTTCAAACTCTGAACCATCTAAAAAGCAATAGCTCATCGATGACTGTTTGCCCATTCTGGTAAAGAAGAGACAGTCAGCTTGGCAGTCTTTCATGAAAATATTAAGTGCCTGGTTTAAATTATGGCTAAACCATTATCATTTTTTTCTATTACTCCTGAAGAATTAGCTGTCAAGATTTTGAATTTACCAGAACTCTTTATAACATATGACTCTCTGCTCATAAAACTAATAAATGTTTCTGAAATTTACATTTGACTTTATAATTAAACATTTATTAACCTCTATTATAGTTAACAAGAACGTTTGCAGTATCTTTGTATTGACTTGTAAAAGATATATTACAATTTGTTTGAAACACTGTTGAATTTTGTCTTGCTGGATAGGAAAAGAATATTTTCTATGATTGACGGCAGCAACCTCCTTGCGATAGTAACTTCTAGTTACTAAAAGTAATCCCTTTTCCTTCTCGATGTTTTGGTACACTAAATGAGCTGCAATGAAAGAACTAAAGAAAACTTTGCACCTCATTTCCTAATTAAACAAATGAAAAATTACTTAACCAAAGTTTGCCACTTTTTTGTTAGGACTATATTATGATCAATACTAAATTACATATAATTGTTTATACATAAAATATAAGTGAGAATGCAATAACCACCCCACTATAAATTTTTACATAATAAAGATGTTCACAGTGTCAAGGGATAACTGATTTTGTCATTTATCCTCAAACAATTTACACAATAACCAACCAAATAATAAAGTTTGTGATGCCATTTTTTATTGAAAGTAATATTGTTTTCTTGAATTTGCAAACCACTAACAGAATATTTTTACCATTATTTAACAATTTTTCACATTGTTACCATGACTACTTAATATATCGTTAACTTTAATCCCAAAATCATTGAGCAAACATAATTTCATCTACTAATTTGGTTTGTATTTGTTTACCATTTACTATAAATCACTGTTTCCGGTGGTGGAGGTGGTGGATATAGTCCAATGTACTCCTCAATTGCATCTAGCATTGATTGAAGCTGATCTGGTATATTGCAAATGTGTGGTGAAGCACGTATACCGCTTGTACTGGCAACAGCAATTCTGTGGGTATCATAAAGATAGTTGTACAGGTTTGCACCCCACTAAAGGACAGAAAAGTAATTTTTCTTAATTACAATAAGAATAAATTCAAATAAGATGATCTGATCCATACATGATAATAATATGACAAGATCATAAACAGACAAAATTTCTTTACAATCCATAAGCATTTAAGGAAGCATAGGTAAATTTGATATCCTTAAACAATAATTGCACTGTGCAAAAAACACTAAAAACATTTGGAAAGTTCACTTTTTCTTTAATTTGTGAATGCATTGCTTTGACGCACGCTACTTACGTCTGGATCTACGCCACCAATAACAACGCCAAGCCTTTGGTTTACGTCAGATGGTGTTGTCATGGGGAAATCAAAGCCTGAAAAGCCGTCAAAGACAATAGTACCAAGGTAGCGAACTCTGTCTTCGATGCTCTGGAAACCAATGTCCTCCATTATCTCGGCTGTGCATAATAAGCACATTAAGCTAGGATCGGCACGCTGACCAAGAAGCTCAAATCTTCGCGCGTCAGTGTAAAGCTCTTCAGGGACGACGATCATTGGATCGTACCCAAACGTGTTAGGAGTAAAGTTTGGGATGCGACTTAATTTCATGTAGAACAACCCTGTTTCCTTGGGTCCAAGAAACCACTTGTGAGCAGAGGCTGAGTAACTAAATATAGACACGAGAGACAATAATTAATGAAAGATTGCATCCTTATTTCATACTTACGTACAGAAACTTGATTCTAAATCAAACGGGATATGTAAATGACTAAATGTATTTTGATATTTGTCAACAATCAACCATTGAGAATGCTCTACTGCAAATAAACAGACATTCATGTTTAAACTAATCAACTTTTACAAATTTTGCAGACAGTGATCAAACGTAAAATTGATTATTTTTAACGTTGAACGCTATAGGCTCGTATACTTTCAAGGTTTGAAGGGCGATAGAAATGCTTTATGATCTTCAAACTGTCAAACTATGATGACTCAACTACTTTTCCTCAAATGTTCCTAAACTTTGACAGTTATCAATTAGTTAAACTCTATTCGGAATTTATTTTCAATCATTTTAATAGGCAAAGAAGATAATATAAACTTAAAATGTTTAACAAGTAGATCAAGGGACTTGATAAATTTTTATGATTTTGTTAACTCGCTTAATTTTTCTTAATTTTTTTTAGCTAATTATTGTCTTAAACAAAAAACTCTTTAAAATATTAGAATGTTGTCAGCAGGCAATATTTCTTTGCAGAATTAATAAAAAGTTTGAAAATTTTTTAATGCACTAAAATTTCTTCATTATTTTTTTCTCCAAATTAAAGAATAGTAAGAACATTATCGGCATCTCTAATTTTCAAATTAGATTTATTTGTATGTTTTGCAAATTTCAAGGGTCAATCTAGTACATTTGACGCTAAACAGTGTATTTGATTATGGTAATCCATCGGTGGCCTGTGGGGCTTTTATTTTGCTGAAAACATACATTAGGGCGCTAAACATGCAATTACTACATTAAAAAGTACTACGCAAATAACTACGTACAATGTTGCACCTACTACGTAAATACTTTAATAAACTTACCTGTCACAGTCCATTTGTGCCAAATTCAAATTCATGCATCCCCAGGTCATTGCACCGTCAACATGCACGTGACAATCGGGGTTGACGCTATGAACAGCCCTGCATATTTGTTCTGCAGGTAGCAAGAGACCACTGACATTTGACAGGTGAGAGAATGTAAGAAATTTGGTGTTTTCGTTAACTTCATTGACAAATTGCGCAACAATCTCTTCGTCGGTAATGGCACCATTTAGATTGGCAGGTATGTCGTGAATTACAAACGGTGTTTGAGCTTGACGTATGTACCATGCCTGATGATTTGTTGGGTGGTTTTGTGCCCACAGAACGACCTAAATATATCATAAACAAAATTTAAAAAAAGATAGATATATATATATATATCCGGCTGAGTTGTCTGGATGTTAAAATATTTTCCGGAGGTCTTTAAAATTCAAGGCCACAGATCGACAAGAGTTTTTGATACCAGAGGGAGGGGAAATTTTCTATTAGTATCAACCTATTTGGTAAAGAACGTACATATGGTGATTGCGAACTCAGATCCAATAATGGCATAAAAGAAAACAACCAAAACATTACTATTCATTTAACTTGGAATAATTTAGAATTAACGCAATATATTACAATCAAAAGCTTGTAAATGATTTCCTTTAATAAACAAAAACTCTTCGCTCAAGTTTTAGTATTCCACATCGCGGTCATTTGTTGTTATGATAACCAATTCAAAAACAATACTTACCGCATAAGACATTTGTAATGAATTAGGGGCTAATTACCAGTGGCGTGCGGTGACTGAATTTAATAGGCAAGCGCTGACAGTGATTCCACAATGCATTCAGTCATGTTGTACAGGTGTCGTGAAAATACCGAATGTAGAAGTAGAACATAAAAGGATGAAAAATCCTATGCTATATATTTTATAGGAACATCAATCTTATTTATACCTTATATCAGTTACATGATATCTACCGAATACAAATATCAAAACTACTACGCAAAAGGAAGCTCTTGTCAATATCATAATCTTGTATTACATGCTACAGATAATATCTTCTACATACATAAATTGCAAGACAATAGGCGCGAAATGTATTGTAGCAGTCGTGATTATAACAATTAAGAACAGTTTCGCGCACAAAATTGGCACGGTGTGTTACAAACTGAGGCCATGGCGTTGTTTAATGTTTATATTTTGGTATAATGACGTCATGGCAACGTGTTCTCCGTTCTTCAAAATGTGTCTGGCACTGACTCGTACGTTTCAGAATATCGGAGAGTCGTGTTTATTATTTAGTGTCTTGTACCTTTTATTTTTAGTCATTAATTTACGAATTCAACGACACAAGACTGACAAGAGCATAGTGTTTTGGTCATAATGCTAATACTTTACCACAACACACGTTTGCGTGCATTTCGATATCTCTGCAGACTGCGGCCCCTGCTTGTTTACGCACATTGTGCGCAGAAAATAATAAAATAACCAGTAAAGCACCTACTACTTTGAATTAGAAATCAGAACATTACCTTTCGCTCTCAGTCATCTTTTAATAAACGATAACATTAACGGCGTGAATAATTCGGATGTGCAATGTGTTGAATATACGAATATTATTCGTGCGCTGATATGTGTTTAAAATTGCGAGCGTACAAGACTGTTGACCAATCGCTATCAAGCGGCGCCTTAGAAGCGCCGCTTTTCTCGATATTCCTCGAATAAGAAGCCCAAATCTAGATTAACGCATGCGCAAATGTTCAAATTGAGCTCCGAAGGTAAGCGCGCTTGCCTTAATAAATATTCGGTGTATTTAATCCACTTGACTCATCTTACAAGTGTAGCAAAGTGAAACCGAAAACCACAACAGCAAATCGCGTATAAATAGCAAGCATTTCAACTGTAAAGACAATTTAGACAAAAGATTACATTGACATTGTTTAGAACAGAAAAATTTAAACTGATTTTGCTCAGAGATTGATCCAAAAAATTTTGTTCGGTAAAATGCTTAGGCGGCGCTTGCCTACGCTTACATGACCGCACGCCACTGCTAATTACATGAGCCCGGGTAGCCGGCATTCAGTCAAGCGTGAAATGATTTTGGCGAATGAAAAACGATTCAATACTTATCATCAGATAAATCTTCTAGAGCAATTTTACAATATTCTGTTTTAATAACTATGAAAAACATTTAAAATTAAAACAACTAATTTGGCCTAATTTGAAAGTTACAATAGCAATGACTAGTGGCTTATAACATATGTTACTTGAAGTTTTGGCCCCTTTCAATCCCTTGAAATCATTTCACGCTTCACTGAATCCTAGCTTGCGGGATCATGTAAACAGCCCTTAGTATGTGATAGAATTACCTGTTTTACCGTAAGGTGTTCGACGTTACAGACTTACAGCTACAAGAGACCATACCAAAGCCCGTGCGTGCTTCTCATGTTAATCTCTAGTGCATGACGTAGACTGATAGTCTTATGACGGGAAAAAATAGCAATTGGTAAAGAATCATTGGCAATAAAGACCCATCAAATGTTTTGTCATTACTGTCTGTTTTTACATATGCAAAATGCGTTCAGCGTGCGATATACAGATTAAGCGAACAAATTATAATTAAAGAGAAATGTTGAAGATATAGCTACTTATCATCTCAAAATTTATTTTTTTTTATCAAAATGGCAATATTCACTCCTCGCCACAGATAACAACGCTAGTTAACAACATTAAGGGGCGAGCTTCATATTCCAAGTACACCAAGATATACGCCTAGTCTCAAATTTTCCAAAGTGTACCCACCTCATCAGTTGGTTGTAAGAGCTGGCCATTGTTTACGTTGTTATTTGCTTCAGTTCCATTACGCATGAAGGCGACCTCTGTTCTTGCTACACCCAGTTGCGCTGCAATGACTTGATGAGCTTCATCAATTATCATTGCTAAATTATCCAGTCGGTTTTGTATGGAGATATTCTTATTTAATTCCAGATTAAATTCGTTCATCAACAATTGGACAGGATGAAAAGTTGGTGCAAAATTTGCAGCATTAATAGGAATCGCGTCATTTTGATCATTCTCATCATAAGCAAACTGGTTACGTATTTCTAGAAACACAATGTAATTTGAGAATTCTTGGTGTCAATACTTATTTTGAGACAAAGTTATACCTACAGTCAAAGCCTGCGTGTTGCAACACTATAAATTAACTAAATTAATGATAAGTTGTTGACGAGCGTTATGGAAGGCTTAGTTGATCGGCCAAATTCAATTGCCAATTTGTTTATTAATAAAGTGCGCTAAATTGCGCGATATTTTGTACTTTATCTTTTAAACATAACAAATAAAATTTTCTGTGAATGTTTTTTGAGATATTGCAACGAAGTTGATGTATTACGTTACCTAACCAATAGTCTTCGTCATCCACTGCAGGTACTGATTCCCTGTGTACGGCTGCTTTGAGAGCGCCAAACTGCTGTTTGAAGTGACGCTTGAAATCTACGCTAACCACTCCACGATTGCACAGCTTTCGCACAATTTTCAAGCTGGGCGAATTCTTGAGAATGTCGCGATTTCTTCTGTATCTTGCAATCCATATTTCGTTTTAATCAAACCTATGCCACTCGACTCGTCTCTGTTGTAGTTCACTGTATGTGAAAACAAGAAAGTACGAAGCTTTTATCATGTCACAAGGATTGACGTATTTCCGTTTCTATAATGGTAAACACTTGCAATTTGCAAAACGAACGCTCAAATAAAAGAAAACAATCGATTAGACTGGTTGTCCAAGGTTAAGGCAATCCAATATTTAATAGACGGCCATGATTTTTGTGGTATACTCAAAGACTAGGCTATCAAATACCATGTTATTTGAGAGAAAAATATGCAAATGCAAGCTCGTTGGGAAATTTGGTCGATATCTTATTTTTTTACTCTGCGTCGATAAGACAAAAGAAAACTAATGAATATCAAAAGAGTCAAAAACTTTAGTTTGTTCGCTATTCTTAACGTACTTACACGCATAAACAATAAAATATAGTTATAAGCTGCATAAAAGTGCGCATACTTAATTAGGTTTAAAGTACCAAGAAAATCGAACAACGTTGGTTTTCAAACAGTTTGTATTTGATTGCAAGAAGTGAAAAAATATGATTTCAATCCAGTGGCGTTGCTGGCTCGATAAGTGACAAATATTTTATAGACATATGCGTGTTGCTGTATATTAAGTTCCTTTGAAATCAATTGTTTCTTAAGGATTAAAACAGGCATATATGAATATTGTCCCTAACTTATCAAGCATGGCGAAGCTACTGTTTCAATATATAAACATCTTCAACACATTTGCGTTTGCTCATTTTCTTGCACATTCTACGAAAAAAAATTGTACATTTAAAATCTAGAACACTGGCTTTTATAATATTTCTTTTTCATAACACTGCAGTTATAAATTCAGTTGTTCAGTAGACTCTTTTGCAATTAATTATTAACGCATCAGTTTGACCTTAAATGACATGATAAAGCGGAAGTGTGTTTAATTAAGTTTCAAAATGCGTGTCTCGTAGTTTCTTTTACTTAAAATGATAAACAAGTATGTACTTATAGTTTCCTAGTAATTTACATATAAAGTTTCCTAATTAATGTTTTATGTCACTTTTGCACGCCAGTCAATTATTTTCTATTTCACGAAACCATTTGTAAAAGTAGATGTTGAATTAAGTTAGCTGTGGAGTTGTTGTTCGATGAGACTTTTCACTTGTTGAAGGTTGTTTCTACATATCGTAGCTTTCTCCTAATCATCAAAATTATAAAACGAATCAGAGTGCAGACTACTTTCTGAACGTGATAAACAAACTTCTGAGAGAGACACATCAGCGCGTTAAAGTCGGATTACGTTTGTTAGGTACATTTCAAATTGGAGATTTCAGAATAATGGGGCTTATTTACTATTCAAATTTCTGCGAGTTACCGGTGTGACGTATCCACATTTAAGATAAAACTTAAGCCGGTTTTTCTGATTCACTTGTGACATAGACACAAGCTAGCAAAAAAAGAAAGCATTTTCTTTTGAGGTTGGTGGAAACGAAAAAACAAACGGAATCTTCTTTTCAATTTGCTTTTGTTCTATAATGTGTACTTCATTCTTTTGTGAAGGTATTATGCTTAGTGCGTCATATGGCTCGTTGTAGTTTTTTGAACTTTCTTTGATCTTCTCTTTTAATTATATTTGTATGTTGCTAGCAAAATCAGGCTATGTAGCTGATGAAAAAGTATAGTGTGAATTTTCAATCAACATGTGAAAGGCTTGATCGTATAAAGTCCACTTATTATTCTTTAACGTCAAAGAAACTTGATACGCACATATTAAATCTTATTTGTAAAACCAATATTAGCTATCATTTTATAATTAGCTACAATGACAATTGTAGAAGTACCATTAAACTAATGGCTTCTAGAAGTATGTCTTGCTTAGTGCATTGTACGGAAATTATCAAACTGAACAACATATGATATTTTGAAAACAACCGCACTGGAGTGAAATAAGAAAATGGTAAACATTCAGACACATCTGTTTTTCTTTCCACAGTCAATCCATCATCACTGTCTTTTCCCGTTTATTCTCTGAACCATCCCCACATACTACTCTTCATTCCCCTTTAACATACAAACTTCTTTTCAATTACCGGATCACTACCCTTTCAATGTTCAACGTCACACATTTGAATGATAGCCAAACAACGCGTAGTACAGGAGAAACGAAACAGATATTTCAGTCATGGTAAAAAATGCGGTGTCAGAGTGCAAAGTGTCTCCTGATGACAAGATAGATACATCTAACACAGACCCCACATTTTTCCTTATGCCCCAATAAAGTGGAAAATGCGGATTTTCATTAAAAATGTTCCCTTTCCTCGAATCACACGAACTTCGCACTTTTCACTCAGTTAACTGTAATTTATCTCATTTCCCACAAAAAAACATTGAATAAAAGTTACCAACTATGCATAAATTGTTGACGTCCGAGCAAAACTAAGCCAGATAGATAACTTGACTATTAATATCACTGTAAATTAAATGAAGTATCCTCAGAAACAACGGCTGCGATAAAGTTTCATTACAGCAAAATTATTGTTGTTTGATGGCAAAATGCTCATAAACTGCAGGTTTATGCATTTCACAACAAGTACATTCTTATTTAGCATATGAAAATGTAAATATTCATGAAATTAAAGTTAGTGCCCGACCGATTGCAGCGGCGGAATTGCTTTTCAAAGCGTATGTCGGTAGCAAAGAATAAGGCCTATATCTAAATCTTTGCGTAAAGGGAGACTACGCACCCGTACTCCGTATTTTCCACCATGCCGAAGTTTGATGGGACTCTGATGTTGTGGAATACAACCAAACAATAAAACAGGAAACGGATACAACACACTTATCATGCACACGATGCAGTACGTTTAATTTTAGCCATCATACAATAACAACACTATCTCAAACAACAACAATAATTTCGCCCCACTTGCTAAACCATACCTTATTTCTGTGAGGTCAATACTAATCCTATTAAATGATACTATTACATATTACGTAAACACACTGTGTGAGATTCCTGTATTCAGTTTCTGTTTTTTAGTATTTATTTCAAATTGTTCATCAATGCTGGGATTAATTAACTCAATTTTAAGAGTCTCATGTTAAAAATAGTCTGTATAGGAGGCTAATATCGCTTGACCGATAGGAAAATTGCCAAATAAGCAAATAAACTTAGATTTATTAACAACTTACTGGCTTCACTGACATAAAATTTCTATGCTCAAAGATCATTGAAGTTATTCTCCCATTATATTGAAAGGTTTAGCACGTGTAAACAACAGTGACGTTTTCTGTTTCAGTATTTAGAAATACTACAGATTTTAATGGAAATGAATTGGAACGAAAAGGTTAAATAAATAAAGTGAGTTTAAGGTTTTGTACCGATTATATATACTCTTCCTGATTCTTGGTACATTTACATTTAAAACATATTAAAGAAGACTGTAAGAGTTTGAACCCAGAAAACTATTGCCGAAATAGCAATAATATTTGTGATTGCCTTTCGAGAATTGCTAGATTTTGGCAATATTAGCTAGCGCGGCTTCAGCAGGCTGACACGCTCAAATGAACAGGCCCCAATTGATTTGAAGAGTAGCTTGAAAGGTTAGCACTATTTTCCACCCAGCAAACCGCCCTTTATTTGAAATATGATATTTTACACAATATAATATTTTACACAATCTAATATTTTACACAATATAATATTTTATATAATATTTTACACAATCGTCGAAAAACGACATATTTTCCAGCCTGGATTATAAGTTTATAACTTAAGGTGGTTGCATGAAAATTTATACTGCAACATTTATCTGTAAATATTTTCATATGTTAATATTAAAAACTGTATTATAAAAATATAAAATTACTCGCCATCTCAAAACGACCTAGCACCAGTGCATGCATGGTTTCCTTTTAGCTTTTGGTTCTTTCCCATTAGCCACCATCTTTAATTTATTAACGATTGTGTAAAGTAAAGGGCGGTTTGCTGGGTGGAAAATAGTGCTAACCAGCTTGAAATAATGCCGAAATACAGACAGACAGTGAGTCGTCAATATAATTGATTTTAATTATTCAAAACTTATTAAACATTAAAGAAATGCTTTTTGGAGTTTGCTTTGTATGAGATTTCATTTAAAGTTGCTATGTATTAGATAATATAAACTTGAGATGCAACTTTAAAGGATGTAAAAACGTGTATTTCGCGTAATATTCCCAGGATTGATTTATGTACAGGTATTGATAATAAAGAGCAAACTTAAAACGCTGGATAAACGCAGAGAAGAAAACTGTTCCACATTAATATCTGACTGAAAGAGAAGAACCATAAGCTTAAGCTCAATCATTTGTTTCTTCAAAAATATTGGAATTGTCAAAAAGAAACACTAGATCGAACAAAACTAATTTTATAACTTTTAATAGATCTGTAATTGTTTTAACAAAAAATTAACATGAAATGATAAATTTACAAATGATATTAACGTCACAATTGAAAAAAGTACTTACATCACTGCTTACGGTAACATAAAATAACTTCTTCAGTGAAGACTCTACCTATGTTGACTAAACTCTCCGTTTACCTTTACAATTTAAATACTTTGTCACGTGATTCGACAATGAAAACATATGATGACGAACTTCCGCCATTAAGCTACATGGTGTTTTCATCGGTCGCCATGTTGGTGGAAAACCTCATGCAATGAAGAGAATTTATGTTGATTTAATGCTCCGATTATTATCTATACTTTGATGTAAGGTACCAACATGTAGACTTGTGAAAATTTTGTTGGAAAATATGATGAATATCACATATATAAATAGTGTCGTCTATTTTTAAACTTTGGGTCAAGTTTCAGATATGACGTGTTGACAATTCAGTTTCCAGTCGAATGTGTCATCAGTGTATTATAACGCCCACCTAATAATTTGTAGTTTTGATCTTTATTGTAAATGCACAAACAAACGCGTTCCAATTGAAATAAATGTGAAAATAGCCTTTGAACATGATTCATTGTAACACATCATACTGATTAAGTGTAAAATTTGAGTCGCAAGATTTGTCAGCTATTATAGAAACACAACAAATTTTACTTCATATAATTCGAGGCTCAGCGAAGACTGTAAAGCTTGCAAGTAGAAGAGTCGAATCCCAGTATAACACAAAGTTCCGATATTAAAACGCACAAATGTTCAACAACAGTAAAATTTAATGTTCATTTAACACACTTGACCATTTCCTCCCTTTTGTGTCTTAATTACATCAATTTTAACAACACATCTTTCACATTTAACGTGCTACGAAATGATGCTATATGTTGTAAACTGTATCTTAGCTTTGATGAGAGATGTTGTCTTCATACATAGCAGATGAAAATGTTGCCATACTAATAAATATACTTTGGTTTAATTTTACTACAGGCCACGTGTCTCAAATAAACTGCTCATCATTGAAATCAACCGACATTTAGAAATTCCATGATTCGTGAAGGAATAATTAGTTCCCAAGGATGATTAAATGCTGTTGAAATGAATTTCATACTGGAAATATTTAATAAACAGTAGGCACAATTTATACATATTGTTTTGAATTTGGTTAACAGGTCTTTGAGGATCAATAGTACTTAATCATGCAAGTTGTAAAAGTCGGCTTATTTGAAAGATGTGCAGTTCATGTGATACACTGTAATATTGTTTCAGTGCAATATGAGTTCCAAATTCCTAACCATAAAGACACACGCCACCAAAGATCCACAAGCAAAGAGGTGTTATTTTAACATTGGAATTAATTAGTGTAAAAAAATGTTTTGAAATTGAACTAATACAATTAAGCATGCTGTTAAATGGTAAAAAAACTACAGGAAATCAATCCATTATTTTTGAAAAATTTAATTAGTAATTATAAACCTCTTTGAGCGTAAACAACATCGAGTTTGGCATTTATATTATACTATTTTGTAATTTTGTAATAGAAGTGCAAAATTAGTTAATATTATTAGAAGGTCTTTAGTTTCAAATGAAATAAATGAGTGAAACGCACACTACTAACGCACCATGCAATAAAGTGTGGATTTCTTAAGAAAAAAAGATGTTTACTGGGATTGCACAGGCGTATGCAAACCGATGAGACGTTTGGGAGAGTTCAAGTGCTGATCAGTCCAAGCCTGAGACCAAAGTGGAGGAATGCACCTACTCAAGATTTCTCAAAACGTCTCCCATGTTTACATGCCAGTGCAAACACGAAAAACATCTTTTATTTCTGTATGAAATAATAATAATGAAACTGAGAAATTCAAAAAGCGTTTTAATTTCCCTGAAATGTATTCATGATTGATTTGCAAATTCTCTTTGATCGATTGAATGGTTTGACTGTGTAAGCTCAGATCTGGTTTCCACAGGCGCAATGCAAACACAATGTACGCATTATTTTATATTGCAAAATAACAGATAAACAAAAGTCTAAATGTTTATGAAGGCATTGTTCCGTTCGTTCTTTATTATGTATAAAAACGAATTTTTTCATGTTTATATTTGTGGCTATTTCAAAAAATCTAATAATGCATTATAATACTAACAGAGTGCAACTTTATTTTCTCCTAAGGCTCATATTTTCTTCAAGCAAAGGTCTTTCTCACCCTCGAAGATTGGTTGAAAGAAAATATTTCAATCTGTAAATCAAAACAATAAAGATGTGATTGAATTGACGAACTGGAAGCAACTTTTCGTTTTGTAAGAAAATGTAACTATGACAATATAAATACGACCTAATTATCTCCTGCGTGGTTTTCTAGATTTTCTACTCTGCATCTGTTAGCCAATTTAACAGCAAGATAGTAAACAAAATATATAATTAATCCGATTTTGGCAAAATACAAAGTATTAAACTCGTAAAAACCAGTTTTCGGATGAATCACCTGCGTTTATAGTAAAATTATTGCTATGCATACATTTCGTTTTCACATGCTTGCACAATTGCGGTCAACATTTAGGGGATTTGATAAACTATTATTTGAGAATATTTTCTTGTCGTGTTCGTGTTCCAGAAACCGTTTTCGTTTTTCTGAAAAGCAGAAGACGCCCGCATTACAGAAGTCACTGTATAGCGATGAATAGCTAACGACTGCAGACAAATACGGTGTTTAACTATTAAAACAAATCACCGCAAACCTTTTCCGGATTTTTATTTCATTATATCTGTATAGTTAAACTCCCCCCTGCCAAGATAAACAAACATTGTTGAGCAGACTTAAGTCATTTTTGTCTTAAAAATTCATATTCAAGTTATAGCAAATGGTGAAAGCTTGCCACGCTACAGCAATAAGGGGAAATTTTAACGATGGAAATTTTTAAAGCGGAGAGTTGGCGGCCGGGTTCCAACGCATGTACGAGCTTGCTTTTAAACTATTTTAAAATATCGAATTCCACATGAAAAGGAAGTAATATTTAGCGCCTTTATTTACAGTATGTATTATTGAAATGAGAGTTCATTTGCTAAAACTTGAAAGTAACGTGAACTCTATAGCTATCATTTTTCACATCCATTTTTTAGTGCATTGCGTTTAACTGAATAATTTTGTCATACTTTCATCATCATAATAATGACTTGACAAGTCATATTAGTATATAATCCAACCCAATGAAACGATGGTTGATGACATTTTGCTTGAGTTGAATGTCTAAGCAAAAAAATAACGTACTTGGGAAAATTTATTCTGTATGTAATTTATTGTTACAATGTGAAAACATAAATATGTATAATGCGAGGAACATTTTTGGTTTATTGTGATCCTTCCTATCCTAAGCAAAACAACTTTGCCTCGTGCCTGTCGACGTCAGGTGTCTGCTAACGCGATACAAAATGGAATAGGAAGATTGGATTATGGATGAATGGACATAATGGACATGGAATGGAATGGATCCTGAATGTACCGGAATGGAATTTAATGGATGTAATGGGGACTATATATACGCAGCAGCATATATAGGACTATATATACGCAGCAGGGCAAGGACTTTCAAATATTATGTAGCTTTATACAACTATGGCTAAATTTTAACGCTTGACTAATTAATCACGTTTCTTGTTATCAATCGTTTAACCATCCTTGCTACTAAGTTGTTGACAAACAGTCATTAATACAGCTTGTAGTTGCTAGGTATTATATGTGATTGATTGCCATTCGTATATGGTCCGAGAATAAGGCGACTGGATTTTTAAAAGTTGTGGCTATAAACTAGAAAGCCAAGTACGGAATACGTTCAAACTTTATAACAATTTTCCTAAGTAAGAACTTCTTACAGGAATTGGGTCTTCACAGAGTCTAATTTAAGTTCGAGAGCGATAAACTGTATCAATATGCTTTTGTAATTGTTGTGTAGATGAGCCAATCAGTGAATAGCTTTATGAATACGCATTGTCTGGAAATAAACAATGTTTGACACCTAAATAAAATGCATTTCTCTTGTATGTCCACAATTTTACCAATATAACATTTAAATAACACAAAATAAAGAACTGTTGTCGTCATATACAGCGTTAAATTCCATGCTTTCTTTCTTTTCTTTGCATGAAGATAATTGATCTTGTTGTACATTTCAACAGAGACGATGAAGATATTATTTCTCGGTAGGCGGTGCTTAATAAGCAATTAAAGTAGAATATGAAGAAATAAGTTTAAAGGCAAATGCGCTTGGAGGTGCTCGAGTTAAAAGATTAAACATTTGCTGGTCTCTTTCGACGAGATTGTGGTCTGAACTGGTGGTTGCTTCATCATCTACATTCATTAAATTGCTAAAATATAATATTCTGCACTTTCCTAACATTTTAAACCTGCAAATTTGAAAGATGAGTGGTATGTATACTATCCTGTCATGTTGATAGCATCAATTTTATGTTAACATACGATTTTTCTGTTTTAGACCGAAGAGCTAGACGAGGCGGAGATGACGATGTAAGTAAATGTCATAAATGTCATAAGCGTTTAACATGTATTCATTACAAGCCCATGAGCACATAAATGTGTGGCTTAATATCTAACAGTATGTTAGAACCATAAAAATCTGTCATAAAAGAAACGTTCTAATGCCCTTGTTAAACATTTTTATGTCATTTATAGTTGTACACACTGCTCTCGCCAGACATGTCAGCCGAACTAGCCACTGTTGCTAATAGGGGCACACTTTTTATTATTAAATTAGGGATTTGAGCAATACATTTTTGACAAAATAGATGAAAAACGGTTTGTATTATATTGTATTGTTAAAGAATGTTCGGTAGCTTTCTTGGTAGGTTGTTAATGCTCAACAGGTGAATAGTCAGTATATAATTTTCTTGAAATTTGAGAGTTTTGATTACCCCTGCATATAATGTATAAACACTTACCAACCAAAAGCCAAATTAGCCTGTTAAGTACTTGCATGCTATTACTGTTAACTCAGGAAAACCTGTGGTTAGAGTATTTATTCAATAAGAGTTCACTCTAAATTAAATAAGTACATGATATGGAAGAACCGAAGAAGTGTCCATTTGTGAAACATTTGGAAAATTCAATTCCATTTCTCCATCTTATACATGCTCATTTAAAATGCCTCTGATTGATGAATATGTAATCAGAATCACTTATCATGCATCTGATAAAAGCATTAAATCTTTCTGATAAAATTTCCTCCCACTCCGTCGACACTTGACAAAATTAACCTTTGCATTTCATTGACTTGGTTATGAATTCCTCCAAACTGTTAAGGTGTAGTTACAATTCTTTCAAAGAAAGCCGATATAAGCGCACGCGTAACTTCAATTTTCTAGCTGCGAGGGTAGCTATGGATCTGTAGTTTTACCGACAAACACGTAACATCTGTTATTCTTATAACAAAACTCCTTCACTGTACAATCCACTGATTTAATGTAAATTATAATTACGGACGACATTGCACTTACTAGTATTTTCCTGTATAATGGTAATTATCAGAAAAGCGATGGTGTAACCATACGCTCATCTGATGTCATAAGCACAGTCAACAAATCTTTCCAAGAAACCTCTTTTGAAATTTTTTTTGAAATGCTTCAGGATGATTTAGCCAAACAACGTGAAAAGCGCAGGCTTGAGCGTGAAGAACGGCGAAAGCAACGTGATGTGGAAAATAACGACGCTGAAGCTGAAAGGCAGCGACAGAGAGAAGAGAGACGAAGAAAAAGAGAATCTGGCAAGTTCATTATACTAAATTGGTTTGTGTTCGAAGAACTAGTAGTTTTACAATCCACTGCAAAGCTTTTCGATGTTTGTCGTAATTTTTTGCAACTTTCTTTTTGATCTAAGGCCGCGTTTTCACTAGCCCAGGTTGACATCCAGCTCGGGTAGGTGTGCCAGGTTAGCAAGGAGTCGACCCGGGTTAGCAAGGTGTTAGAGCTTTAAATTTATCTCATTTCTACATGTAACCCCGGATTGGCTTGTCTTTAGCTTATTTTCGAGCCCGCCCGGGCTAAGAATTGCTGACCCGGGTTGCGAAATCAGTTCTAACCCGGGATTCGTGTTAACATAACCACGTATCGCAGTCTAACCAGGATTAAATATCAACCCGGGCTCGTGTAAACGGGGTCTTATTCTGCCTTATTGTTAGCGGTTTTTTAAAGCGTCATCACTGGCAGATTTTTCCAGCTGGGATTTTCAAATACGTTGTAGTATTTCTATTGTTTACAACTCATTTCTATGCTATTTCCAGTAGGGAAGTCAGCCTGTTTTTTACTCCTGCAATGCTAATATATTTTGTGTTTAATCCCTTGAAAACTATGAATTGATTTAATTTTCTAAAGAGTTGAATGATATTTTGCTGAAAAATTTGCAATGTAGAGGTAAAGGATCGTGCTGGCTTCGCCTATGACCATATTTCTATACCTGATGACGAATTTGTAATAAATTTGAAATATTATTATTAAAATAAAAAGTTGTCTTGTTTTCTCCTCAAATATTGAGTAAACATGAATTTCTTAATCTGAGTATGTTTCATCTTATCTAAAAAGTTATTTCATCAACTGACCTTTCTTGTTCATCTCGAAAATCCCTTATAAAGGGTTTATCTGCTACCGTTACTTCATGTATATTGCGCTATGCCACGCTAACTTCTTTTGAAAGTGAAATGGCTTTTTAAAGAAGTTAGCTAGGTATTGAAGAATATACGAATATGGTCCTTGCAATTAACTTGGTGCATTGATGCCGCATATAGGAAGATAGACAACTTAGCTCTCATAAAAAATTTGAGGTTTGAATCATTTTGTAGAGACTGTAGACTCCCCTGAGTTTATCGTAAATTTGTTTTCTGAAATAAAGCCGAAAATTCTGCATCTGTATAAATTTGGGTTTCAAGATTTTGAACAAAACCATGCCCATTTTGCTTGTTTTATACAATTTGACCATTTTCGTATTTTATAGGAGAAGATTCAAGCTCTGCAAGATCTCGAAGGTATGGGTTAAGTTAAATTCGGATAGAAAATAAATGTATCCTTAGCAAGGAGGGTGCCACAAAATTAAATATGGGAGGGAGGGTGCTACGACTTATATTTACTAAATTTACTACTTGTTATTTTGCCTCAAGCTAGGACAAAATGTATGAATCTTAGCGGAAACTTTATCTTGGTGAAAAGTGGAGGCTGACCCTCCTACCCCAGCCATCTTTTGGTGCTGTGCCTGCTTAAGGTCAGTTCGCACAATCTGATTTGTCGGATCCAAAAACACAATCGTGCAAGCTCATATAAAGTGAGCTTCCAACAGTCTGATCCGTCAGTCTGAAAATCGGATGGAAATAGAACTTGTTATATTTTCATCTGACAAAATCAAAGAAAGCCGACTAGTGCAGGACTTCTCACTCTTAATTCTTTCCGAATGTCATTTGGCGCAAAATATTAGATGTGAAAAGACTTAGATACAGAAAAAACACGCAAAATATATCGATAAATACACTCGATAACATAGATTTCTGCTCCCACGAGTATAAATATCTAAACGAATATAAATATATATCAACGAAATTATTAGACTGTCTGACAATTGTATCCGACAAATCGGGTCGTGTGATCGGGCCTTTAGAAGGAGAGTGTCATTTTTAGCAAAGCTATGCAAGGTTATGGGATTGACAATCTACGCAAACTTTCTAATAACAGTACAACTAAGAGCAACCAAAATGTTTTTCTTACATTGATTTTGCCTAAAGCTATTTTGCTAGCTATAGTTATATTCTAATATTGTCTTTCGTTTCATTTATTTTCATTATTGTCTTTAAAAGTCATAATTATATCAGTGCATTTATTATGTATGCTATCGACAGATTTTGTTGATGCTGAAGAAATAATGAACAGCTTTCAGTGATTTCTATTGTCATTCAACAAATTTCTTTCACTCAAATAGTCCTCGTTACCTTTACCTGTAATTTATCAAACATTACGCTATTGTTAACCAGTATAGCATTTAAAGTGTTCATGAGACCAAACTTTACCATTGTTTTTCTTTATGGTGGAATTGTAAAGATACTTTAAAAGGACTTCAATAGAATTGTGATTAAATATGTAACTTTTCTTTTTTAATTTTTTTGCGCATCGTGTAATTGGCTTTGGGAAATAATACTTTTGGTCATCAGTCAGCATTAAAAGATCAAACTTTGGCGCCTTTACAAAATTTCTTCTTCACATGTATTCATCAAGCAGTTCTATTTGTGCTAAAATCTTTCAACGATGTAAAAAATTGATGATCTTTAGCTAAAATCTTGTTGGTGATGTCATAACAATTCATCTGCGTAAAGCGAAAAGTTAATTATCTTTTAAAAAAAGTACATTAACTAAATTATTCTAAGAAGTTTATAAAGTCATTTAGTGTGTACTATGAACTACAATCCAACAAATTTGTAATAAGACTAATGAAAGCTTTTCTTCTGAAGTCACGTGCTTTTATATTTGAACAGGAAATGCGCGGTAACTGAAAATTGAAAAAAGAGTATCCTAAAATATTCATTTAACGATTATCCAGGCAAGAAGAAGAGATGAAAAAAATGAAAGAGGAGGAAGAGCGAAAGAAAAAGGAACGAGAAGCTGAGGAAAGGAGACGAAAAGAGGCAGAAAAACAAGCACAAGAAGTAAGATGCGAAAAAAGACATGTATTTCTCAAAATTTAACAAAGTTGATGTTGTTCATGACTTTACGATATCACCATTCCACTGTTTTTCTCTTAATAAGAGAAGCTGTGGAATTTAAAGTTAAAAAGTGAATGTTGTTTATTCTGAATTTTTCATTACCAAAATCTCAACATTATTTTCAACGCAAAAAATGTTTATGAAACTTATGCAAAAAGTAATTTACCCTTTATTTCCAAAGTTTTTTTTAATTACAAGTTTTAGATGGCTTCTTTGATGTTGGCCACGCTTGGAGAGAAAGGGTGTATTATAAGCTGAATACTTTTGAAGCCAGATTGTAACGCGTTTATTTGCCAAAAGAATATGAAATCAATGGCATGTTTGACAAATGGCTTGTTTTGAGGAAAAAGATCATTTCACGACAATGCTGTGAAATTTATACAAACTAAAAAAACATGAAATGAACTCAGCCATATTGAAATGTCATTTTCTTAATATTTGATTTTAAGAAGCTAAAAGTATAGCTTTGCCTTTATTTAAAAAAGTTCGTTGAACATACGAAAATATAATACAATATCTGTTTTTCCAGGCAGAGGAAGAGGAAGAGGAAGAAGAAGAAGAGGAGGAGGAAGTAAAAGAGAAAGTAAATGTTCAAATTTCTCCAGCGAAGGTAAAACAAATGCACAAGCTTTATTTACTTTGGTCCAGATTTTTAATTTTTTTACAAAACTGTACGCCGGCTTTTTTCCAACACAAGCCTTTTTACTTTGAATTGTAACCATGTAATTTTAAAAGTGATGTTTTCAAGCTTCCCTCAATTCATTCGCTTTTTTATCAATTGTTAAAACACTGTTTACCCACAACCTTGCAAAATATTTCAATATTAAAAAAATTGACTGACGTTAAATTGCTAAGAATATCAATAGCTATTACAGAGTAACGACTGTCAATGGTTATGACGTGATGCGCTTTTTTTCTTTGTATATAAATATTTCACATCATTTATTAAAACTGCAAATTAAACAAAAATAGAATATAGATTTTATTGTTTTACTGGAAGCTCCCTTTATAGTACCTACTGTACTATTACTTCCAAAATATACTGATTTGCACAAGAAAACTATAAAATGTGAAATTTGATTAATGTTTAAATCATTACATCATGTAATTAAGACTGGATTGTTTTTTAGAAGATTTCTACCGATGGTCCTAAAACTGCCTTTCATAAGATTAATGATGACCGCAAACGTAAGTACTTACTGCATCAATGAATCATGCATTACAGACTTGGCAGCTTTTTGCCCTAGCCTATGATTGTTGTATAGAAGTCTCAAGTCCACCATCGAAATATTTTAATGTAATTGTACTATCGCCAAAGTTTGTTACTTTTAATGTTTGGTTGTTGTCTATAAGGTAGCGTCCATAGTGATTAATTCCTGCTTGTGTACTTTTTCTGCCGAAAACAGGCATAAAACAGCAGCAGACATTTAGCTTGGCTTACGAGTGTCGAATTTGTCTTGTTTTGCCGATTATTCTTGAAGAAAACAGTTGTAATAGTTTTTCTAAATCGTCGTTTTATGCAATTGCTTACATTTCTATTAAAAAAAGAACGAACTTATTGCTTAAAGCATGTGTAGTAGCTAAATTTAAATCAAATTTAATTTAATTCAATTTTAATTCAATGTTAACACGTATTTAGTGGCAACTCTATACTATTCTTTGAGAGAGTATATCCTGTATATGATTTCAAGTCAAATAGAGTTCAGGAAAAAGCTAAATCTTGTCAGTATAAATGAATGTCGTAAATGGAACTTCAGCTATTATTACAAGATTCTCTAAAATTTGTGATGACAAATGTGTTTTTATACTTATTGTGGAAAAGGTCGAATCATTGATTCTTTGATTGATCGTCTGTATGAGCTTGCTGAAGAACGAGATGCCAAGAACAAGCCTGACAATAAAAGTGCAACATCTGGTGCATCTAGTACAGATATGGCGTCTCTTGATTTAAAAGTACGCTCACTGCGCACTCGTTTACGCAACGCAGAAAATTGTACTGAAACTCTTGCGAAGCAAGAAAAAGATTTAAAAGCAAAGATTGAAGCCAACCATCAAGAGGTAAAAGTGATTTAACTGGACTTTTCTTTATTACAAGAAATATGCCTAATTGATACGTATCCACTGAAAAAAGGGTCAGGGCTGTCCCTACAACGTTGATTGCAGAGTGTTTCATTCATACATTCTGTTGTGTCGGAGTGTTTTTTTTCTTTTAAAATTAACTAATTCATATAAAGGTAGGTAGGTAGGTAGGTAGTTTTTTGAAATATTAATTGCAGCCTTGCGGCTGAATTACAAATATCTAAATTAGTTATAATAAATAATATCTAATATCTAAAATACAATAAAATTTTACAAAGTATTTACATTTATTAAATTTACAATTATAAAATGGTACTCGCTAACACCAACAGAGACAAAGAAAACTCCATAACTGGCCACCTTAGTAATTTACTTTCATAATAAATCACTTGGGCACAGCTGAATGTATAAATATAAACACCACCACCTCCCTATAATGAACATTCTCGGGACATCTCCAAAGAAACTTGTCCAGTAAAAAATATACAGAGTATAACCTAATCCAACATACACAACCCATTAAAAGATTGAAACTATTCATTATGATTGTCCGTTACCGTGTTAAAAATATTTATGTATCATTTCAACTTGCAAACGCTGCTAAAAGTTTGATTAGTTGAGATCATCTATATTTTACACGATCAAATTAGTAAGTAATGCATAATGCATGATATTAATTTTCACAATTAAAATAATATTTGTTATCAGCAAAGATTTTGCACTTTCGTCTATCTTACTCAATATGTTCTGCACATGATCTGCAAAAATACCTATATTTACAAAGAAAGATACTAGCCGACTAAGCAAGAAGGATGCTCATTAGTGACTAAGATAAACTATTTGCTTGATACATGTGCTTAAGAAAATGATAGTGATCCACCAATAGCTGACCAGAGTCAAGTGACATAAATTATGGCCACTACTTTTACATTTGAATACATTCAGTGGTATGACATTGTTTGTGAAAGTATAAGACACAAAGTTACAGGTGAGTTAAATTTCTACTTATCTGATAAGCAGCTACTTTGCAATTTACAGCTGCTTTATAACATAACTTGCTTTACACATCAAACTTATCTAATACAAATGCCTATTACTCATATTTCATGCTCCTATTTCACTTAATTTGATGCAAAATATGGGTTTATTTTGCAGTTTTTTTACTTTTGCTCTTTAGTCAAACAAATTGCCAATAACATAAGAATGATATATGAAAATTCATAATGTAAGCTTTATTTTGAGTGATTGCTGATAGAGAACAGACATGATTAACGTCCGTCGTTTTTGACTTATAATGTGATAGCGGCGACACTTTTATTTGAAAATTATACAATGTGCAGGGTTAATGGGTGGGGAATCGGCCGGAAGTTTCGTATGCGCATGTTCAGCTCACGAGTTTGTGCTAAATTCAAATTTTCGAGAAAGAAACCTATATTTTAATGCCAAATTCGATGTGATTTGAGCCATTTTAGGTCCGTCTAAATGCAATTCAATTAACCTGAATGTATTTTCAATTAACTATTGATATCCAGTATTACTATAGAAGTAACCTAGGCAAAAAACGACGAATAATGACAAGTTGAAAGCAAAGCGCAATCAGTAAGGTTATATCAAAATATTTTAGTTACGAATATTTTTTACATGTGCTTCTTTTTCTATCAGTCTTCGTTTATTCCGTTGATTCATTGTTTGGTTAATGTAGGTTTGTTATTTGTTGTCTTCAAAAACTAAGCGACAGACAAGCGTGTTGCAAATGGCAATACTACACAAATGTGGTATATATTGTATAAAACTCCACTGGTATTCAATATATTTTATAAAGCAAAACATCAATCATTAAATCGGCGTACTGTAGACAAAAAATAGCACTGGATTTGTAAAAAAGATGGTGTGGCGCTTTACAAATACGCCTTGCTCTTTCGGCCATATAAGAATTTAAGTGGAATGATGCGCATGGATTCCAGTCGAAGGGACTGAACCCTAAATTAGCAAATGTTCATTTTACAATGAATAAGTTTGATATGTCAGAAATTTCAAAGAAGTGGATTGTTATAATTGAAATTATAGCAGAGAGGGATGAAAAATACAATAATCCCATATTTTTTTATTGATGACATTACATCATTAGCTTGATAGAATTAATACAAACCAGTTGGACTCTTGTATTATATTGTACACTTGAAACTATTTCTAATCAACTTGCACTTGTTGATTATGTAACCAAGACAATAGTTTCATTTTTTTCATAAACCTGCATGGAGTGACCATATATACATGAATTTGTAACGCTTTATAAGAATACCCAAAATTATAATCAAACCATTTCTTAAAGGTTAATCGTCTTCGTCAAGAGTTTGCTTCTGCAGAGGCAGAGTACAATGAAGCAATCAAGAATGGTGCTGTTGTTCCCGCAGCTCCAAAACGAGGAAGGACTGGTGGTGCTGGAAAAGGTGCTGGCTTCTTTGACATTGTTAAGAAAGCCCAATCATCTCTTTGGGAGGATAAATTCGAGGCATTTAAAGCAAAGCAACGTGGAACTGCACCAGTAAGTAGTTGATGAATCAAGGAGGTTTCTTGTCCTAATCTCTTCAGATCAATATTCATTAGATTTCTTCAATGGCAACAGAAAAAGTCAAGAGTTATCAAAAGTTTAAGCAAAGCAATGCGATTGGTTGAAACATTTCAGTAGGTTTCCATAAAGTATAAGTGGAATCTTCAATTTCATTCATTATCAGAAGTATCAAATTTTATCGTAAAAAACCTAACTCAAAGACAATAAAAGACAAATGGGTTTCATTTTAAGTAAACACACACAATGAATAAAGTTTTCAGCCCAAATTCATTTTATGAGATTCGACAAAATGCATATTTTAAAATTTTTTTGACACATGTTTTATGATTATCATTATGTACATTATGTTTATCATCTATGCTTATTCTTGCTTATTTATGCCTATTAATTGCTGCTTGTTTTTATGCGATATTTATCATTGGATTGAATTAAGATTTTAATATTTATAATTACTTCATGTTGATTGTTACATACTTTGGTACGAAAGCTACTCCTTGCTAAACAGATTGTGAATTAATATAAATTTATCAATTATAGAATTCGGAGTACAAACTTTATATTTATGTGACTTGGAATGAAAAGGAATATAAAACGAGAAAAAAACACTAAACATGTGGCACAGTTAAATGGTCAAATATTCATTTTTGTTTCGTTGAAACATATTTGTGAAAATCGCCACAGCATGTTGTTGTTTACTGGAATTTAATAAGTTACAACATTCCTTCAAAATATATAAAATATTTTAACTATGATATCTTTTAGAGCCAACCAATGTGGGTTAACAATCTACGCAAGAGTGACAACAAAATTGGAACAACGGTGATGAAACGTGATGATCCTGAGAAAAAGAAACATGAAAAAGCATCATGGCAGAATCAAAACAAGCTTCATAAAGCAGTCATTGATCCAAGGGCAAAGAAAGAAATAGAACCTGCAGGTGCAAAAAAGCCCGCATGGTCTGGTGTGTCATTGAAAAAAGCTGAAAAGAAGTAAATGGACAATGGTGATTTTGAATTTATTTCAAGCATTGCACATTCAAAAAATTGAAGAGTAGGAGGAAATCATATCAAAAAATAAAACCTTTTAAATTTATGCTCAGTTCGTTAAAGTTATTTAGATTCCATGCAAAAACCTCGTTTTTTTCGGATGAACTTTTGCAACTTTTACATTTGTACAAATATCTGGCACTTTAACTTTAGGCACTTTTCTTTGGCTTGATAAAAAGTACTAATAGAGTAGGAGCAGATATTTTTTGTAGGCATCTGAAAAGGTCTAGTTTTGCGTTCTTCTTGTTAAGACTTTTGTTTTGGCCATGTTCAAATGGGTCACGTCTTCTTGCACTAAAAAACACTGTGTTTTTTTGCAATTCAAAATTATTGAGTTCTAATACAAATTTGTCGAAAGGTATTTTCGAATCTTCTTCCGAACGAGAGAAACCATGCATGCACAAAAGCAAGAAAATTTAAATTTCAAAATGTTATAATGCATTGCTAACCTAAATTGCAAAATATGTTTGTTGTTGCTGCACTACAAAGTCAGCTGCAGTTGTGAATAGCAAAAAAGCTACGAGAAAAACTGGAAAAGAAAGTGCTGCCTAATTTCAGTGGTTATTCACAGATAAAGAGATAGATTTTTCTTCTTTGCTTCTGGTATCTGTTGCACTCTGTGTTTATAGAGCCAGTTTGTCAAAGTAGATTGTTAATTTCATAATTATGGAGGTTTGCCGTTGATGCTGATGAAAAAACTTGCTTAGACTTTAGCAAAGCAAGATTAGAGTGAGTTAGTGAACAAATATAGCACATTTGCGAATATCTGTTCATCAGAAATATGAGACATTTTTCTTCCATCCGGACGGTTAATATATGTCATGTCATATTGCGCTAAAAAACTCTGTGCTATTAGCAATTCGTAATTAGTGAGTTCTAATATAAATTTAAAAAAGGTATAGTTAGGAATCCTTTTCCTAACGAAACAAATAATGCATGCACAAACGCAAGGGAGAATTTAAATTTGAAAAGGTGAATTTTTTTTTTGCAAGAATGTATCTACAAGCATTTGTTAACACTGTTTTTGTGTCTTTCTCATATAATAAGTAATATAAATGATGTGAGGAAAAGAATCTCTGCTAACGTGGATGTCTAAAAATTATCAACATTATTAATGGTTGTATCATATTGTTATTTATTCAATTTCTCTTAACTAACATTTTCTTGTTGTTAATGAAATTAGTATGTAGGAATGGACTATTACAAGCACAGTGCACCCTATTACTCAGAATTTATAATGTCATTTGCATGCAGTTTTAGCTAACGTAAAAGTTAAATAAATTAACTGTTTCTTTCTGTTAGTCTCGACACTTGTTATCAAGCAAATTACGCACTAAATTCAAATAGATCGTTTAGCGCTTGTTGACATTGTACTAGATTTTGTTGCTTACGACACATAATAAGAATATACAAAAGGGTCATTCGTGTCGGAACCTTTGATGTTTTTGTCCTTGCGCATGTCGTACCGCGCATGGTGGCCGCCATTATTCCAGCCAGTTGATTAGAATTTGTGACTTTTTACCAACCTTCAAAATGATCCGAAGTCACTTCTAAAGTAAAAATATTCTCGAATTCATTATTAAGTATTAATGTCATGTAATTTTAATAGTTAGAAACAAGTAACAAACCCTAATCATCTGGTTGGAATAATGGCCACGTAAGGACACGTTGAACAATTGAGTGACCCTTCTCTATAGTCATTATTCTGTGCTTATGATGAGCACCACAGGTTGTTTTGATTATTAGTTAAGTTCTTTGTTATTTTTGTAATAATTATCTTGATAACAATAATTATTTTTATAATTCTATACTTGATTGTTGCATTAATGGTATACGTAGGTAACGTAATAAGTATTGAGAGTAAGAGAACAATGGAATGCACGCCATGTTGGATGAAATCTAAAATCCTCCAAAATGGCTACTATGACGTACGTTGCAAGCGCTGGCCAAGAATATACAGATAAATGGTGAAGATTTCGTAACTTGCTCCAAGTGCTGTGTTTCTACAAGACTATAGATTACTTAAAAGCTACAAAGAGACACTCTACAGATTTAAAAATATAGGAGTTAAGTGAACAGCTCATCGACTTCAGTACTCCTCCCCCCGCCAAAAAAGAATTAAATCTGTTCCACGTACATGACACAGACGAAAAGACATGCATGTAACTTGTAAATAATTGTTGGGGTAGAATGGTAAATGGGTGCTTTAAACACAAGTGCGTCATTGAGAACATTATTATATACCTTCAATAACGATGCAGTAAACAGACTAAAAACAATTTTGACTTCGATAGGCCCATGTAAGATGCATCAGTTTTAAGCGATTTTGGTTTGAAAACTGAAATTGTTCTTAACATTAATTTGACGTGTAATAGAAATATAATAGAAATGCAATAGTGTTACGTACTTGTTCAAGACTGCTACTCTGCTATAGCATACATTTGATTCAGCGAAAATGATCTTTCGACCTCAGTATAGCCATTGCATTTAAGAAATAAAAGATGTTTACTGTGTTTGCACCAGTGAACTCTATAAACAACTGGAACGATAACTACGCCGCCATCTTTGAATCAAGCATGATGCTTTTTTCATGGATATGTATATTACATGGACCGCGCATCACTAATTAAGTTAAAGCCAGAAGGCCGCCTTTTTGAACAGTCCAACTTCACGAGGTTGATATACAAAGTATATTAATTGCTGCTATCAAAAATTGCGAGAATCGTCTCTTTTGGTGCATTGACAAATCTGCTACTCATTGTGAAGTGTAAACTAATACAGTTCAATGACCAGCGGACTTCAAAAGCCTATACTTCATGTACATATAGCATATTAGATATATTGTAAATTTCTTGTTAATAGCATATCCTCTTTCTGAACGGTGTTTTTGATCATCACTGAAAGAATATTAAGCAATCCTCCATCGATTTACATATAGCGACCTCAACAGGTTATGGGCCCAGGTCACGAATACATTTCGATGGAGATGAAAGGAAATATAACTTTAGGAGACAAAGTTTAAGAGATATCTTCATATTTTAAAGTTGAAAGATACCGTCGAAAGCGACGAACCCAATGCGGCAAAGAACGCCGATGTTTATGCTGAATCAATCCAAGTGGACGATCGATCACTTTCTCTAGTCATGAGAGATGCCAAGGATAACGGGGGGAAAGCAATAAAGATCCTAAGAGAACATTACAGGTCAAGTGGTAAACCAAAAATCATCGCGCTTTATACAGAGTTGACCACGCTGTGTAAAAGGGAATCAGAAAGCATGACTGACTACATGCTCCAAGCGTAGGCGGCGTAGCAGCAATGAGAGATGCAGAAGAAGAAGTTAGTGATGCTTTCTAATAGCAAGGATTGTTAAGGTGCTTCCATCGGAATTCAAAGCTTTAATACCGTAATCACGCAAAAGCAAAAAGACAAGCAACCAACGTACTTGGAATTTAAAGTCGCACTTTGGGCATACGAAGAGAACGAGATGCCATTATCTAAGGACATTGTGCTGAAAACGGGATTTAATTCCAAGATCAAATGCTATACGTGCAAGAAATTTGGACACAAATCAGATCAGTGTCCCAAGTCAAAGAAGTGGTGTAATCATTGCAAGACAAGGACCCATAATACTAAAGAGTGTAGAAAGAAAGATCACGGACAGCAATCTGACGGAGCAAAATACGCACGCGAGAGACCTCAAAAGCAAGAAGACCAGAATGCATGTATCTTTCGAGTAACTGACGACCTGAGCAACAGCAAGGATACAAAAAGCTTGAGGACAAGTTTATTAGTTGATTGTGGTGTTAACACACATATAATAAATGATGAGGGAACATTGTGAGTTTTGAGAACAATTTTGATCCAAACATTCGTTTAATCGAGTTAGCTGATGGTACCAGGCATAATAACCTAGCTTTTAAAAGGGTAATGCTAAAGTAGTTTTGCAAGACAACTTAGGTAACTAGCATAATGTAACTTTAAAGAATGCCCTTCATGTACCTTCCTTCTCGCAAAATATCTTCTCAGTTCAGGCAGCATCTAAGAATGGTGCAACAACAACCTTCCTTCCAGATGAAGCAACATTAAGCAGTAGGGATGGAACTAAGTTTGACATTCACAAGTAAGGAAGACTCTATTATTTATGTGTAGTGAAATCTAGTTGCACAACCTGAAAACATGGCACGAAATTGTAGGCCATTGTAACTTAAAGGATACAGTTAAACTTGAGGGTGTTGTCAATGGCATGCATATTAGCGAGAAAACAATAGAGAATGTCTGTGAGGTATGCACATTAGGTAAAATGATAAATGTTCGCAACATGAAATCAGACATCAGGGCTAAATCTCCTCTTGATCTAGTCCATACAGATTATGCTGGACCAGTGACTCCAGAATCTGATCAGGGTTATAAATACGCTTTGCCATTTACAGATGATTACTCGGGGGCAACTTTCACTTTCAATTAAAAAATAAGTCTGATATATTATGTGCTACAGAAAAATTTCTTGCTCATTCCTCTCCTTATGGGAGGATCAAATGCATTAGGTCAGACAATGGTTCAGAATTTATAAGACAGGCATTTAGATCTCTTCTCACAAAAAATAAGATCAAGTACGAAACATTAGCTCCATACTCTCTACATCAAAACTTTACTGCAGAAAGGAACTGGCGTACGCTGTTCGAAATGGCCAGGTGTCTACTTATTAATGCTAAGTTAGATACGAAATTTTGACCTTATGCAATCTTGACTTCAACCTTTTCGTAACAGGTGTTACAATAATCGCATTAGGAAAACACCATATCATGAACTTACAGGCAAAAAACCAGACATTTCTAACATGGCTATCTTTGGCACCATTTGCTTTTCTTACACTCACGACAAAAAGAAGCTGGATGCAGGATTTAGGAAAGGAATCTTTCTAGGCTACGTCTAGATTAGTCCAGCGTACATAGATATGTTTCCAGAAAAAGGTAAAATGGAAAAAAGTAGAAATGTAAAATTTACAAACCTATACCAGTCCAGTATCTCTAATTATCCAGGTAGAAATGTGGAGGTAAATTTTTTATTTTCCACGAAAGGGTAATGTAGACAGAGAAGTAGTCCCTCCACGAGTGGATCCTAAGGCTGGGCAGGCACAACTCGGAAGAATACATGCACTAGAGAATACAGCAGTACAACCATCGGTAGAACCTCAAATCCAGGATAACCACAACTTATTCACGATTATGTCTTAGAGCAGGACAAGGACGATGATGAAAAAATAGCTTATAACATAGATTATTGCTTTGTAACGTCAGTTGTACTGAGAACGTACGAGGAGGCAGTAGAGTCAGACGATTGTGTATAATGGCAACAGGCTATGAATGAGGAAGTAAAGTCTTTAGACGAAAACAATACTTACACGTTTACCGAATTGCCAGAGGGTAAGAGTTTAGTGGGGACAGGTCTGACTTACACAGTGAAAAAGGGACATAACGGAAAACTAAGCCATAAAGCTCACTTTGTTGCCAAGGGGTCTTCTTAATCAGCAGGTGTAGATTAATTGGACACATTTTCTCCAACGGCTAAAATAACTTCTATTCGTGTATCACTGCAGCTTGCTCTGGACTTAGATATGTCAGTACATCAGATGGATGTTACGACTGCGTATCTTAACGCACTCATAGACTGCGAGATATACGTTGAGCAGCCTAAGGGCTATGTCAAATGTGGAAGCGATGGAAAACACTTAGTGTGCAGACTTAACAAGTCACTTCACGGTGTGAAGCAAAGTGGACGCAATTGGAATTCTGTTTTACATTGTTTCTTGACAGAAAATGGGTTTAATCAGCTAAAATCAGATCCTTGTGTATATGTTCGTCAAAATGGGGATAAGACTACTATCATTTTGGTTTGGGTTGACGATCTTATTATTGCGTCTAATTCCACACATGTTCTCATTGAGGTAAAGAATGATTTGAGTACAAGGTTCAAAACGAAGGACCTTCAGCAGCTTTCTTGGTTTCTAGGCTTTAAATTCACCTTTCTTGGAACCAAAGTTACGGTAGGTCAGAATAAGTATGTCGGAAAAATTTTGAATGAATTTCAAATGCAAGGTTGTAAACCTAGAGTAACTCCGTGTGAATTGGGAGCCAATCAAATTAGTAAAGAAACTGCAGAGAGATGTGATAAGAAACTTTACCAATAGATAGAAGGTAGTCTAATATATCTGATGACTGCAACTATACCTGACCTATCTTTCATAGTGACTAAACTATCACAGTTCATGGCAAATCTCACAAGTAATCATTTATCATTAGC